TCTTATCTCATAACTTAACATCATCAAGCTCTTTACATATTTCATTGATGTGTACACCATAAATATTGACTGAGATAATAAATAAGTCCATTATCAACTCTTTATTGAGCACATAATGGTACATACTATTCCTTCTATATGAGGATAATAACTCCATTCGCAACTCTTTAAAGAGTAAATAATGACACTTAAATAAATTCTCATTTCGGGAATTATACATGCATTAGGGATTTTTCAAGATAAACTAGAGGATATATTTACGATATTTTCAAGAGGAAACAATATTTAAGTTTCCTAATCACATATAACATTACTAGGCATGTTTATGATAATATATTTTCATACTTTGTTATGGGGGAGAAAATACCTTTAGTCAATTTATTGACTATAAGAAAGATCATAGTTAGTAATTTACTAACTTTTATACTTCTTATTTTGTGATTTTCATTAATCACATTTTGAGAAAATCCATCAAGGATTTTAAATATAAGTAACAAGTTACCCATATAAATATGTGATAACTATAACTATTAACTACATATCTAATTTATTTACTGCTAGTTTTATTGAATAGCGGAATATAAAGCCATGACTAATATTGGGTCTCTGCGAAAATCCTCAACTCGCCTTTTATTAACGAGTTTTGATTTGTATGCCTTAATTGCTCTTTTCTATCAAAACAGTTAGCACGCTGCAGACGTTATGCTACTGTTTTCATTTCTGGATCCAGATTTAAGTATTTATGAGCAATAGGGGCAAAAAAAATGTTGTCGACAACTATAACAGCTTTGTAAATATCTTTTATACACATGGCAATTTTGTATCAACCAGATATATGGCATTTCCCAAGATTATTTGAATTTGGTTGTTCCGCTTCCCCAGTATTTTAGTTGTTTGGTGCACCTACAATTTTACTGGGAGTTTTCGCCTTCTAGACGAATATCTTCAGGATAAAATTTCTATATTTCTGGAGTGACGAAATCTCTATACTAGATCTAGTTTTGTAAATTTTTAAACCTATATATGCTTCTAGCATAATGGTAGAGATGTTTAGTCCTAGTTGGGGATTTCAACTCTTAAAATATTTTCTATGGACTTAGTCACTCAGGATTTCTAGCAGATAATTTGTTCAATGTCTGAACTTCTGGTTCTATAAGGCTAGTACATGAGTTTAAAGATTTTTATCAATTTCTCGGTATTTAATTAATTAAAAATTTTGAATCTCCCCCTAATGTCAAGAAAAGATCTCATAATGCAACCATCACTGTTGATTTCTCATGATGGGATATAGCTAGAAAGGTTGCATACTAAAAAAAATGAACGCAGATAGGGAAATGCATCCTGTACTAGCGTATGTGATATGTAGTGGATCAACATATTGGTTTTTCAATTTTGAAGGTCCCCAAAAAAATATTTCCTCCAAAAATGCTTAATTTACTTTCCAAAAAAAAATGTCATAAATAATATGAGCAAAAATATGACCTGCATGCATGGAGCTAACATCTCGTAGTATGTTGATGAAATTAGACACCAAACATTCAAAAAAATCTTGTCGAATTTTCACTTCTGGTGAAGCCACAACTCTCATAATATAATCCCGCTCCATATCATTGTTAAAATGTGAGCAAAGCTAAGAGCATTGTACAATGCCCGGGCAGTAGTAAGCCTAACAAATTTTATGCAAATAAATTTAACAAGTCATAGTAGCATTTAATCACATGCAATCTAAGGTTTAGCAACGACAGGTGCACCTTAACAGAACTATCTCACTGTTTTATGATTTAAAGCTCAATAATACTATGCCTTTAAAAATATTTGTCTTAAAAGTTTGCTTCACGTTGTAGCATTCATGGCCTATAGCAAATATTTGTTATCAACAAGAGAAAACAACAAATCCTCTTTGTTTTATGGTTCACATAGCTACAAAGCAAATTTGAACAAATAGAAGTTCTCAAATTCTGAGCACATTATGAACAAATGAAACTGTGTTGCCAACATCATAATTTGCTATCCCAAAAACCAATTAGGCATTCAAATACCAAGTCTGATGCAATGTGAGTATTGCTATCATCATGCAAATATATGTGTATATTCTCAAATAATCAACTTCTCAAGGTGCTCAAATAATTCAAGATACTGAAATTGATAGCAAATTTCAGGAACTTTGACCCAAATTGCAGAATTTTCTGGGGGGAAACGGTAACACATTTTGGCAAAAAATTTTTGAGATATGAAGTTCAACAAATCTAGAATGTACATAGAAATTTTCATGCCAATCAAAAGTCTGGAAGTATTTTTCCAAAAAATTTCCAACACTGCGCCAAGCAGAAAAATAACTGGCAAGACACTGCCAGAACTTTACAGAATTTTTCTGGAACAACCAAAGCATATTTTTTAGAAAATCTTTTTAAAGATATCAAATATCATAAGTGTAGGTTCTCCAGGAAAAAATTCATGCCAAAAGGAATTCAACAAGTATTTTTCACCAATTTAGTTTTCAAACTGCGTCTATCAGAATTTTCAGGCATGCCTCAAAAATTTATGCAAATAAATTTAACATTCAACAGGCATGGAAGCTATTGAAACTTGTCAACTTGAGCAGTACGACATATAATTAACTTTTGAATTAACATTATTCAATCTATCGCAACTGTGAAAAAAATTGATGAGCCAGACCTCCACTAAGCAAATCAGCATGCAACATTATTTAATGGAACAATGACTTACTTGGGAACTTGATGAGTACCTCTATTGGAATTGACAACTAAGTATACCAATAGTTGTCTCCACACGTGATAGATTAATTCCCATTTCAGTACTTTGATAATTTCTAAGAGGAAGATAGATCGACATTTTGACTAACCTTCTTCTTGACACATCACCTAGAGACCCAATGTGGTCATGAGTTCACTCGCACCTTTTACAAATAGCTGTAGCAACCCCAAGCCAAAAATAATATATTTCCAACAGGGAGGTATGTATTCCACATCCTCTCAAATAACCAATAAATCCAATAGGCTCAACCATAAAGAATATCGCAGTCTACTAAACCCAAATAAATACACAAACTACTATCTGAGGTTTGCATTTTGGGGGTTAGATTCAAGAGACAACCTATGACTATGGAGATAATATCAAACTTGAGCATCTCAGTTGGTTAGAGCATCGTGCTGATAACGTGTTGTAACCTATTAGCTCAAACGATCAAAGGAATTGTAGAAAGAAGAAGTATGAGATAAGTCAAGAGAGAAAGTAAGAGGCAAGACCATCTCATTCATCTGTATTCCATACAACCATAACACATCTATATATAATATACAAATGTAACGGAAGACATAATGAAGACATAAATACATGAACCATTACAACTGTTATATAATCTATAATAATGTCCACATAATGATTATATTTATAACAATATTTAATTAGTCCATAAATTATATACATATTAACAATTCAATCCTGACATTAGGTTTTCGTCTCAACTTGACAAAATAAAAAAAAAAAATCCCATATTATTGGAAGGACAAAATAAAAAATTCACATCTTATTCTCTTTATATTGAAATCACTTTTACAATATTATTTTTTACTTCCCAACCTCCTATTCCATGATTCTTCAACTCTAAAAACATTTCAATAACCTTAGTATAACTTGTTAGGTTCTTTATACGAGACTCAGGTTTCTAACAAATCATAGGACCAACTCAATGAATACAGTAATAATAGAGGGGCTGATTCAAAATTTGGATATACTCAATGACCAAAATGCAATTATCCTTATATAAATTCATGTCAGATCTCTCTTCCTTCTTAACTTTATTCTCTTTTCTTTTCATTTCCTTTAATATATATATATATATATATATATATATATATATATATATATATATATATATATATATATATATAGAATTAGGTTCTGGTGCGGTTAAGGTGCCCAGGTACGGTTGTGCGGTTTAGTTTGGGCCATTCATCTCGCTTAAATCAACATCCAGGATTTTCAAATGTTTTTTAAAACAAAACGCGGTGGTAATTTTGTAATTTTTGCATCTATGTAAAATTAAGGTAAGCGGATCTGTGATTAATGTGCATCAGTTTTGTATATAAGATGCGTGAGGTTTGTGCGTAAGGTGCGTGAGATTTGTGCGTAAGGTGCGTGAGTTTTGTGCTTAATGTGCGTGAGGTTGTGCTTAACGTGAGTAATTGTTAAAACTTAAAGTGTGGACTTTTGTGCTTAAGGTGCGTGAGATTTATTTTTAATGTGAGTGGAGTTTGTGCTTAATGTGCGTAGGGTTTGTGCTTAATGTATGTGAGGTTAGTGATTAATGTCAGTAGTTGTTGAAACTTAAGGTCTGTGAGTTAATACTTAAAGTGTGTGGGGTTTGTGCTTAATGTGCGTGGGTTTTGTACTTAATGTGCGTGAGTTTGTGCTTAATGTCAGTAGTTGTTGAAACTTAAAGTCTCTGAGTTAATATTTAAAGTGCGTGGGTTTTGTGCTTAATGTGCGTGAGGTTGTGCTTAATGTGTGTGGGTTTTGTACTTAATGTGCGTGAGTTTGTGCTTAAGATCTAACACTTAAGGTTCGTGTTTCTATCACTTAAGGTGCGCCATTTTTAGCTTATGCTTCTTTCTTCCAGACACGCGCGCGTTTTTTTTTTTTTTTTAAATTTTTATTGATTTGAGCCGTTGATCTAAATTTGATCAACGGCTCAGATCTAACTGCACAACCGCACGAGAAACTATACCCGCACCTAAACCATTCCCTATATATATATATATGTTTTCAAATTTTATAGATGAAAACAAATAAGGTCACTCACTACAATATATATCAACAATCTAGGTTTTACACTTTACAAGTTTAAATTCAAAATAAGATCCAAGTAACTAATACAAATCCTCTTTTAGAAATACCTTCAAATGTTCTCTCCTAATGGCAAATTGTTGAAGTGGGAAAGAAAAGAACCATATAAGTTTGGATTTCAATTCTTATGCAAATCAAAAGAAAGATCATTCCTGTAGTTTGTGATTAAAATTATCCCTACCCAACAAATACACTTCCATCACTGTCAATACAATTTTCACGAGTAATAACAACGAGCGTTCAACAGTTATCAACAGTGATTATCACACTGCAAAAAACGCCATCTTCGGCATAGCAGACAGAATTCCCTCACTGTATATATAATCTAACAATAACCCCTTTGGTTGAACACAGAAATTTTGCAAGAAAATAATATCTCAAACTTCCTCTGCTGGTTGAAATTGTCAACCCCGAGAGCAAAACTATACTTCTATTATCTTCATAGGCCATATATCAACTCTGGTATAGCAGGATAGTCAGTTCCACTTTCAACCGTGCATAAAATACATGAGAAACCTACAAGCAAAAGAAATAACTAGCACTCATCTTTACCACTTGAGCAAATGAAACTAAGAATACCTTGGTTATTCACTGTATATGATAACTCATTATCTTGGACACAATTATTAGAAAATTTGAAGAATCTACGTTGGAATGGAGCAACACTTGCTTTTCAGTTCTTAGAATGATAGATACACTTGCTTGCAGTCCTTTAGCTGTAAATTCTCAGTCCAATTGAAGCATCCCCGTTAAATTAGTAGAAGAAATCAATTCATGCATTTCTATTGTCCCCTAAGTTTGATTACTATAGAAATTTGCAGAAAACTAATATGGTTCTTTGGTTCCAAATCACCTAGTTAATGGATTAGAAATCCCTCAACTATTTCTTTCTGGATATGTTTGGATAAACAATTCCACCAGCTACTTCTGCATGCTATTTTTTGTCTAATATTTAGGGTTGGGCAAAGCCCCAATTTTCTAGTACCAAAACAAGGGAGTGACGGGGTTCATTAGTACAATCCCCCCCAATCCACGAACCAATCAAGACATCTTATAGTGGACACTGAAATAATAGAAATCTCTTAAACACACTGGATTTTAATTCCACGTTTTCAGTAATTCCACTGAGGGGAAATTTTGAGTAATACACAAATTGTAGATCAAAAAATAGATGCTTACCTAAAAATATAGTATATCAAAAAGAAGGAAAGCACAAACCATCCAGCAAGCTTGCATGTTTTCCGATTTGATTTCTTCTCAAACACCTAACAAAGTAAATTGATTATCAAAGTCCAATTTGGCAACCAAAATTTACACAAACTAGTACACACACAAACATATATAATTGATAAGTACACAAACTAGTACATATCTAATGAAACAAAAAAGAATAAGCTATTCTAGTTTCCATACCATCTTGAAGCGATCCATGGTCCTTGACATGACTCCTCTTGATGAATCCATCCCATTCCCCTAATTTATATTGATAGGTAAAGTCAATCAACAATAAGATATATTTTTCAATACAAAGCCCACACTTCTGCTGTCATCATACCATTTTGTCTAGCATTCGGTTATGACTTTCCACCTCCTCATGTATGTCTCCTGTTAGCTGTAAATAAATATGCAAGGACAAACTGCATTCAGAACTGTCATTAAATATATAGCATGGTGAATTTAAAGCACATATAATTAACCTTTAAGATGATAAATAAAAAATTCACAAGAAAAGATATGAATATTACTAATGAAGCACTCTGAACAGCACACAACTTTGTTTGTACAGAACTTCCATAATATGCATATGAACTTTATAAGGATAAAATAAAATACAAGAGAAGTGTATCAACTTTATTCATGAAGCTCTCTAAATGTCATGCATATTCGTAGTAATCTGTATATAGAAATTGCATGACGATGAAAATACTTGTTGTATCAATAGTTCATGGCTAAAAGCTCAGGGTTATGGTAAAAAAAATTAAAATTAAAAAATCACCAATTAGATAATGTGTTGTGATAGTAGGAGCCAAAATCACCTCATGCACCATTAGTCAGTGCTCCTAGTTTTACATATTCTTCTATCAGCCCTTAGAATAGCTTTTACAATATGACAACATGAGACAAGCATACAAAGTTAAGAGATTATTCTGGCTCAATGCTTGGAGTTTTACAATTCACTGTAGTACCTCACCCTGGAGTATCAACTTAGCAACTCCAGGAGGACATTGCCACTAGGACACCAGTAACAACTATACGCCTCTTAACATATTTGCATTTCAGTCATTGTTAAGTACAAGGGCACAGTCAGAACTATTTTCTTTCACTGTAATTATCTAAATTCAGAAAGAAACTATATCTTTAAGCCATCTGTCTGAAAAACTAGGACATCATATCTAAAGGGTCTACGTAGCATTTTGATCCTGATCCAGTAATTTGTCTAACTTCATAAGGATGAAATAAAATGCCTAAAAGTGGATGGCACAAGACCTTGAAAAATAAAAAATGGCACTGTTCACCCAACATGAACATCAAGGTAATTGAAACATTAATCAGTTAGCATATAGGAACTATTTCACCGCCAAAGAAATTCACGCCCATCCTTACCTCAAGGATATAACTTCAAACCCCTCTACTACAGATGTAGCAAAAAGTTAAGCAATGAACACATATTAAATCATGTTTAAAAAATTACAATATAGTAAATTAAAGTTTGCCTATCAAAAGTTTCAAACTAATGCTATATGCCTTTTAAGTTTTGATTTTTGGATTTATAAAGCTATACAGAGCAACTGCAACTGTAAAATAGAGTGTGAACCTTAAAAAGAATGCAAGCACCGAACAACAACACCCAAGTAAGAAATTTTGTTTGCATGTGTGGATTGGTGGGGGGAGTGATGGTTTGAAAAGAACCCTCACAACAGAAACTCACCTTCTTTAAAAAGGTGACTCTATCTTGCAAGTTGTCCACAGCTTTGTCATTATCATGTTCATCCATGTCATGGGAGTAAGAATGTGAAGCCGTGATGCCACCTTCCTCAATACTGTCATAGTTATCAAAGAGAGCTGATCTAGTGGCTCGATGATCCCTGCACATAAATAAGTCCAGCATGTAAAAATTTAAGAGGTGCTAGAAATTAGTAAAATTACTACATTGGAAATAGGCCCAACCATCATGATGATGAATAAAGAGATCTTCACACATCAAGATGCATGGAAGTACATGACAGATATTACAACGTATATGCTTTTAACACTTCCATAACTCAGCAATGCAAGAAGATGAAGAAATAGCTTAAGGTAATAATGTTTGAACTCAGACAATCTTACCTCAAGAACGTGTGTATTTGCATTTAAAGATATGAGAAAATAATGCAAAGAATCAGTAATGCAATAGCCAACAGATTGAGATCATAAAAGGTTCTATGCATCAAATAATTTAAATCAATAGCCATTAACATAATAATTAATAATGAAGGCAATTTCAGTTAATTGTTCTGTTTTCCTCCTTTGAACTTTAAGGGCCCCTTTTTTGGCTCCATTTGCAGTTAATGCTCAAACTATTCTGATGAGTATGGACTACCATCTAAATATCTAATAATCAACCAAAACATAGTTCAGAACTTCCTGGCCTAGTGAACCAATCTATTGAAACAGAAGAAAAAGCATTGGATCTTATTATACAAAACAGAGAAAATTTTCATTAATGATAATTTATAATTTCAAAATTTTCAGACACCATGAAATGACACAATACTAAACCTTGCAAAGAGATGTTAACCAATGAAGGTAGAAGCTCAGTTTAAGTAAGAAGTACTATGGTCTGAAATGCATAGTTTACACTTCATATTTTGCTCCTCCCCATCATCTAAGCAGAACATTCAAGAGTAGATAAGCTTTCCATTTCACTTATGTTTTGAGCTTTCATATAACCAACTTTGAGCAATACCTTTTCTAAGTAACTTCCATTCAAACATGGTTTTCTGAAGAAAAAGATCAGTCACAACTGCAAGCTCATTGCCTAATGAAAGAACAGTAGATATCAAGACATTTCCAGTCAATTCCCGAAGTCATAAAAACCATTCCACTGGAAAATTTCACAAACTTATGCCAAACTAATCTATAGTGTCACCGACATTGACTCAATAATTCATCATTTCGCATAATTCAGGCTCAAAATACACTTAGTAAATCACAAATACGCATCAAAATACATAGAGTGAGAGAAACGTATAATTAAATACATCGATACTTAAAATACACCCAAAAAAAAAAAAAAAAAAAAACTACAAACGCGTTACCCTAGAATGAAGAATGTAGAGACAAACCTTCGATAGCTCATCGAATTGTTTCAACAGTGTCCAGAGGAATATCAATGCAGAACAAAACGCGAAAATTATACAAAAATTCAAGAAGAAATTGAGGAAAATATGAGAATTAAAACAAGAAAAAGCGAATTAAGAAGCAACTGAAATGGGTTTCAGTCTTTCAGAAGAAAGCTTAGAGATTCGAAATTTTTTTCATTCATTCATTTTTTTTTTTTTTTTTTTTTTTCCTAAGGAGGGGGAAACCGGAAATGACGGTAGATTTATTTTTAAATTATATGCAACCTAAATTTGGTAAGTTTTTAATTAAATGACAGATTTAGACATTTAGGATCGAATTTTAATTTTTTTTTTTAAAATTAGTTTTGAAAAGGAAATTTTTTGTTTTTAATCCCCATGTATTTCTTGTTTTAGTCTCTCATGTTTTAAATAAATTGCAACTTTACTTCTCAAAGCATGAAAGCAACAAAACTAAAAAAAATGGTTCTCTCTCTATGTTCTCTAGAGAGTTTTTTTCCCTAGGACTTCTAGGATTCTTCCCTTTTTCGTCGTTCATCTGTCTCTGATTATGTGTTTGCTCTCATTTCCTTTGTCCTGAAGTTAGTTTCTATTCCTAATCTAGTTCTTGTTAGAATAATTATACAGTCATATGTAATTGTAATGATCTAACCTCATAGCGGAAGCATAGGAATCGAGCAAAAATTTCAGCCATAGTTGATTCCTTTGTGTATTGCGTTATGAATAATCGTAGTAGCAATTTCTGCAGAGTAACGATGTCTCCCACTCGGTCTTTGGACAATATAGATGGTGTATGTAACACCCCTAATTTTTAAAACTTTTAAAGCCTATGAATTAAAGGCAAATCAGAGCATAAACTAAACATAATAGTCGAGGTGCTATGCCACATCTGAGCTGGAGAACTCAGATGCACAGGCTAAACTATCCAAACATAAGAAATCCTCAAATCAATATTCGATACAACTTCAAGGCACGCGGGCCGATAATTGAACTAATCTATCTAAGTCCAGGCTCTGACTAGCGCGCTCCAAAGCTAAGGCTCATTACCTGAAAAACATTCGATATAACAACCGTCAGCGAATAATGCTGGTAACCCTCTCCAACGCGTTAAGTACAATATAGGTAGATATAAGAAACTCATTTTGAAACTGGAATACATATATACTTAAGAAACTCTAATTTAAATCCGAGAACAGACTCAGTCAAGCAACAATAGATACATTTAATACAATTAGACTCAACCATAAAGATTCTAGCATGCACCCTAGGGTCTCATGACTGCGCAATATCAATCATATCAATATCCACTTATCATTACAGTCAAATAATCAACAATAAGACACACATTGGTGTACACACATATGGTGGTGCCGCAGGACCATTCACATGACCCGAACCTTGAGTTCCATTGCCAAGGGGTCAGTGCATATAGCCCTGACATAGCCCTGCAGCACTTTAACTTGTACCGCAACACAAGGAGATTGATTGCAACCAATCAATGAACCGCAGCTCATTTATATCATAAACGTTTGATCGCAACCAAACGGTGGACCGCAGCCCTATTATCATGTATATCTGATCGCAACCAGATTATGGACCGCAACCATATATATATATAACATCCGATTGTTCTCAACCAATCCAACTGCCTGTATAGCCGACCGATCACAACCGGTCGGGTTAATACTTGGTGGTTCTCAACCCACCAGATAGTCATTATAGTCAATTGATCGCAACTAATTGGGGTATCATGCACAATCAACATAGAAGCCAAACAACCCACATTAACACATAACGAAGGGAAATCATCGGGGAACACTTGTCCTAATATAACTTATACGTAACAAATCATATTAAACCACTCATGACACTCCTATGGGATCATACACCTTCCTCCTAGGCCAACGGGGTACCAATTCAACTAGCATGCAATACACAAGACTCTTTTATCCTAAGAACGGCACCCGAAACATCAAACTACACTCACATACGACAAACGGGGTACAACGGGACACAACGGCACATGGGGAAACATCAAATGGGGGAAAACACCACGAACCACGCCGAAATTCCAGCGGGTAGGTGGCGGGTGGAGGACCACCCGCCGGCGGCGGGCAGTCCACCGCCCGCCGGCTGCCCGCTGGAACAGTAGCGGCGGGCAGCGGGTGGTCAGTCCCCCACCTACCCCCCACTGATACACAGGCAACTTTATGGACCCGGGATCTCTTGTGGAACCCGAAACCATGTCCAAACACGTTCAAACATATAATGACCATACCACGTATTTAATCAACGGATTTAAACCAAGAATCACACCAAGTACTTCCTAACATGATTCGTAAACATGCCAAGACTCAACACCCGATCATGCAAATTCCCACCCAAACATACCAGGAATAACATAATACGAAATCCATGATTATTACCCTAGGGCTCTAGACATGATCAAAACACAAGATCATTCATATAACTTAATTATCACAGTATCAAGAACATCAAGATTATCACATAAGCATCAAGATCAACACATAAACATCAAGATTATCATAAACACCATATAAACCTTAGGCAAAGATTTATCAAGACTCAAGCACAGAATCATATATCAAAGGAGCCAATGAAGAAGATATAGCGAGAAAAATAGGTTTTGTTGAGACATGGGTTACCTCTTAGCCTTAATTAGTATCCTTGGCTACTAAGGTTCTTTCTCTAAGATCTTCTTCTCGTGGGTTCTCCTACATTTGGTGATAGGGGAATTCCTGGGAATATCTTGTGTGGTAGAATAAATTGTGGTGGGGTTTCTAAGTGTTTCCTAAGTCCTTATATATATTTAGGTGTCCTAGCTAGGGTATGAATAGTAAGGATTCACTTATCATATTCCTTATAGGACTAAGGATTTGGTTTAAGGATAATGGTCCATGATCCATAGTGGGCCACCTTAATTAATTAAGGGAATCCTGGCCCAATCAAATCCTTTCTAATTATTATTAATGGTAATCAATTAAATAATTAGTTCGGGTTAGAGGTCGTAACACGAGGTGTTACAGTGTATTTCAGGTGTTTCGAAGCAGTGGCAGGACCTATACTTTTATAGCCTTATATGCCATCAATATAAACTTTGTAACTGAAAACGTTATTTCCGTTACAACATTAATGCTACAACTTAATAGTCATAAAGTGCTCAATTAAACTTGCACCACATTTAATGGGACTTAATGAAAATATTGTTTACAGCTCCATGGAAGTTAGCGACTTGGAGTCGCATTGTGCCACGCTAACTATCGCCGAGGAAGAAATTTGTGGTCTGGATGCTCCCGTTCTGGATGCAGCGAGTACAAGCACTCCTTGTTTTGAACTCATTGGCCTGCTGCTTACGGATCGACCGGTGAAGTTTGATCATATGCAATAGGTTCTTCCCTCAGTGTGGAAACCAGTTATGGGGGTTCGTATTGTGCCTATGGAAGAAAATTTATTTGTATTTCAGTTCCCAAACAAGTGTGATCTTCTACGAGTTATCGATGATGGGCCCTGGTTCTTTGAAAACCAAGCGCTTGTGTTCGCGATATTACCAGCGAATACTCGTCCGGCCTCTGTGTTGTTGGATAGTATGGATTTCTGGATACAAATACACGACTTACCGTCTACGCCAATATTGGTTTTGTGGAAGAAATAGGGAATTATGTGGGTAAGTTTCTTGCGACTGATCGGAATAATTCTGGGGGTACTTAGCGCAGTTATTTCCATATCAGGGTTACTCTGAATGTTAATGAACCGCTGAAACGTCGAATGAAATTGAGACTCCGGGATGGTACTCATCACTAGGTTAACATCAAGTATGAGCGCCTCAACACATTCTGTTTCTATTGTGGGTTGGTTAATTGGTCACTCTGAAAATTTATGCAGAAAGGCACATGAGGAGGATGTACAGCCGTGTGACTACCCCTATGGCTCTTGGTTACGTGCTAGTATCCGACGACAACCTAAACCTGTGGGTGCACAGTGGTTGTTGAGGGATCTGCCTGATAAGCCAACTTGTGTTACTTCAATCCTCGTAGTGCCTACTTCTAATGTTTTTTCCGTTGAAGCGGCGATTGTTGTCCAAGGTGATCTGAAACGTTGACGAGATGATTCTGGTTCTGGTAGCCATGTGGCGGAGGATGATGTGAGCATGTTAGAAATTCATCAACAAGTGTGTCCGGCGGGTTTAGATGGCCAAACCCGCCCATCATATGAGTACTATAAGCTGGAGCTGTCGAGGCTTGGGTGGCCCTCGTACAGTTCATGAATAACTGGTCTTTGTGTCCATTAAGCGACCCGACTTTGTCTTTCTGACGGAGACAAAGGCACGTTCTGCACAGGTGGAACAACTTCATGTTCGACTAGGATACATGCATGGGATGTTCAGTGTTGATAGAGTTTGTTTGGGTGGAGGACTGACACTTCTTTGGAGGGATCCGGCTATGGCTACTCTGCTGAGTTATTCTTCTAATCATATCGAGGTGATTGTATCTGTGACAGGGATGCCATCATGGCGGCTTACCTGTTATTATGGTTTTCCTGAGAGATCCAGACGTCATGAAGCATGGGATTTCTTACGTGCTCTTCACCACCGTTCGACTTTACCATGGGTAGTTATTGGCGACTTCAATGATTTAGCTATCGACTACTCATCCAGAATCGTTACTTTGGGGTTTCAATGATACTTTGTTGGATTGTGGTTTGTCGAACTTGGGTATGCAAAGTCATTCGTTTACCTGGGAAAGAGGTCGCTTGATAGGGCTGTGGTGACTATCGAATGTCATGAGCTTTATGAGAATGCAATTGTTTTTAATTTGCATGCTACAACGTCTGATTATAGTGCATTGTTTTTGGATTTTAAGGGCCATTCTGCTCGTCGTTCTCGTCAACCCTTTAGATTCGAATCTGCATGGCTATCTGATGTGAACTGCAAGACTGTTGTTGAGACTTCATGGTGGCAGTCGCATAGTTAGGTTTTCCAAAGCCGTCTACAGAGTTGTGGTCGGGTTCTTTATCGATGGGGCGAAGATCATTTTAAGAAGATTGGTAAACGTATTCAAACCATCAGAAGTCAGCTAGAAAGATTGCACAACAGTAGGGATACAGTTGATGTCGATGCATTTCATAACTTAAGTTCTGAATTACGTAATCTGTTAAGCCAAGAGGAGATTTATTGGCGTCAAAGATCTAAACAAC